CGTAAGCCTTGTTGGGTTGATGCCAGGCAAGTCCCTCCGGGCTCGTAGCGGACGAGTCTGGAAACGCGCGGTTATGTGTTGCCCACGGGATGTGATTTCCTCGATTTGCTGCGCCAAAGTCTTGTTAGCTTTCTCCTGGTCGTCAGCTTTCTTCTGGAATTTAACCATCATATCCTTCAGTTCGGCTAGGGTCGCTGAGATTGCCGGATCGACCTGAGGATTCTGAGGGTTCAGAGGGTTAGGGTTCCCTCCTCCGACTGGTGGTGTCTGACGACCGTCTTCGTTCATCGTTCTTCGGTAACCGAGTTCTGCGTCTTAGGGTAAGAGAATTCTAAAGTATCCCCACAGACGGCGCCAAACTGTGGAAGTCAAAACTAACACAATCAAGATTTGTCTAGGGTTTTATTTTAGGGATAAAATAAACTTGAACTCAAAGAACAACAGAACGGATTGAAACCAAAGATGGTGTTCTTGATTTTATTAAGAAAAAGATGGTTTTGATCGTACAAGAGTTTGATCGTAAAAAGAAAAGGTGTTTGTGCTTATGAGCTTTGTGTAGAGTAAATTCTGGAGCGATATTGCTTGCCTTCTGCGAGAGCCTTGAGTCTCTTTATGTAGGGGTGATAAACCGCCTCTCCAGCGATATTCTCGGAAGATTTCCATTTATCTTGAAGTCGGCGTAGAATATCGCGGATTAGGATAGTTTCCTTATTCTTCGGAGTTTTTTTGGAAGATTTCCTGATTTGAGTTGATCCTTCGTGATTCTTCTTTATCATTTACGGGTTTATCGGAAATGATCCTTCTTTTTCGGAAATGATGCCTTGCTTGGAAATGATACTTTGAAGACGAATATTTACTAAGTCTTTACCTCGGGTGATGATGAAGACTTCGCCTCGGAGAAACTTGTGCAATCGGCTCGGGTACACAGGAAGGACTGGCTCGGATACTCTAGGATGACTTGTTCGGGTGTCCCCGAGGCGATGGGCTCGGATACCCCGAGGCGACTGGGCTCGGGTACTCTAGGATGACTTGTTCGGGTGTCCCCGAGGCGATGGGCTCGGGTACCCCGAGGCGATGGGCTCGGGTACCCCGAGGCGACTGGGCTCGGGTACCCCCGAGGCAACTGGGCTCGGGTACCCCAAGACGTATCGTTCGGGTATCCCCGAGGCGATGGGCTCGGGTACCCTAAACTGATTAGATGGATAACCCGAGGTGGATGATGCGATGCCCCGAGGTGATCACTGAAAGACTCCCGGGGTGCTCTAAGTCTGGCTCGGCGCCAAAGGATGGAATCCGACCCCAACAAATATATATATGGAAATTAGTTAAAGTTTAAAGATATATCATTATAGTGTTACACTAATTATGATTATTTTATTTTGAATAAAAGGAACGATTAATATACAAAAGAATAGATAATTACGACTTAACAATTCTAATCGATATTTAATCATACAAATAAAAACTATGTTAAAATTAGCTAACAGTTACATAGTTCAAGTTTCTTATTTAAAAATTATGTGAGCTTGGGTTGATAAGTGTAGGAGATCCGAGTTTGGGTTGAAAAATACCGCATAGAAATAGCTGGGATTGATTTTGGCCATTTTTCCTTGTGTTTAATAGTTTATATTGTTATTCAATATGTTTAGTTGTATTAAAAAATATTACGGTTGTAATAGTGTATTAGATATTAATACTTTTATACGAAATATTGATTTCAAACTAAAACGGATTTTAGTTAGGATAGTTTTAGCTTTATACGAATTTTATATTTTATATTTCATAAAAAATATAGTATTTTGAATATATGTTAAATATGTTCATTTGATAGGGTTCTTATAGTATCATAAATCATCATGTTGATGCAGACCGTTCAGTGTGTGTTTGGAGAGATTTGACGTCAATTCTAATTTGTACAAAAATCTTAATTGCTTGACTAAGGAATAATTGTTATAAATTAAATCTTAGAATTTCTTGTTTTGGATGAATTTACGATAATGGTGGTAAAGCAAATATTTTGGTATATTGGCAAAACAGGAAAATAAGTGATATTGGTAACAGAGAGATCACATAAGATATTGTATATGACGTATAGAAAAAAGTGGTCGGTTTATTTGTTACGAAAATCTTATGTAGGTTGCTAAGGATTTGGAAAACAAATGGATATTATGTAAAATGAGTTGTTTATCCTAAATGAGCTTTATTAATTTCGTCTTTCAAATTTTATTTATAATGGCATTCGTAAGTAATAGTTTACAAAGACAAGATTATTTCTTTAAAGGTACTTCGGTAATATTATATAGAGATATCTTTTCTTCTGAATAGGGAGGCATTCGATTTTCGTCCTTAGCACTCTCTACAGAGGAGTCCTCCCCAAAAACAAGAGTTTAGACTTGCATATGTGGTAAAAACCTTTTTCACGATATTGTTGCTGAGGCAATATATTGTTTGTGTGAAAGGTCGAGAATGCTTTCTCTAGCAAGTCATTCTCAGTAACTTCCTCACCACGGAATCTCAGTATTGACACTATTTTAAATAGTGCTGAGTTATACTCATTCATGGATTTGAATTCCTGGAATCTGAGATTCTCCCGATCGAATCGGGCTTTTGGGTAATAGCACCGTTCTTTGGTGGTTATATTGGATTTTTTATTTTTTTATTTTTTTTTTTTTGTTTTCAACTCTGTCCTGAGGTCTAGATGATTCTTAATAGTGAGGTACTGATTTTGAGACTCTCATTGAGGTGATGGCGTATGTCAGTAATCGCCTTATATCTTTCTCTTCTTGTGACATTGTTTCATTCCATAATAGATTCACCAAGCCCTTTTTCCTTTAGGACAATCTCAGTGTCCAAAGCCTATTTTAAATAATTGTCACCAGAGGCATTGAGTGCCGTGTATTCATAATAGTTGATTTCTGATATCTATAATATATAGAGTTAAATGAGAACTCATGTAATCGGTTAGACCAAGTCATGCGGTATTTAAGACCGAACCATGCTTGTCTTCAGCAAGTGTTTTCTAAACAATCATGTTATATATATATATATGGATGAAATCAACCCTAGAAGATTGATCTAGTATGCAACAACCAAACAATCGGATCATACTAGATTAGGATATTAGGATTTCGCGGTTAAGTTTTAGGGTTTTAGCATCCGCGATTTATAGTACTAGGGTTTTTTCAAGGGTTTCGGTTTTATGTGTGAAACTTTATATTTATGGAAACTTTCCTTATATGGAAACTTTCTATTTCTCATCTAGAAAGAAATCCTAAACAAACGTGTACTTTAGGGTTTTGGAATATTTCCTTATGAAGGGGTTTCCTATTTTGGTAACTTTCCATTTTGGGAAACTTGCTATTTTAGGGAACCTTTTATTTTGGGAAAATTGCTATTTTACGAAACTTTCTATTTCTGGAAACTTTCCTTATATGGAACTTTCTATTTATGGAGATTTTCTATTTATGGAAACTTTCTATTTCTGGAAACTTTCCTTATATGGGAAACTTGATCCTAAACCGTGACTTAGGGTTTATTAAACCGATTTAACCTAGGATTTAGGGTTTCGGTTTACTTTCGGTTTAACCTAGGGTTTATATTAAAACATTCAATCTATCATGCCATTAAACATCTTTCTATTCACTAACTTCTCAATTAATTCTCCAAACAAAAATCATAAATCAAATCACATGTGCCAATTTTCATCCAATTTTATTTTATCAAACTTTAATTGGATCATGTATATAAAGCATAATAAATAAATAGCACTTATCTTAATTGGAGAAGTGAAACAGAGACCCGAGATCTGATACGGAGATTGGAAATGTTGGGACTTCCTACAAAATCTCAATATATATAATCTTGATTCCTGAGAAACTCAAAATTTTGCTCATGGAAACATGGCTATTACATTAGTAAAAAAAAAAAAAAAAAAATAGGGTTTCTGTAATATACTGCATAAAACAGTTCGGAATCAATAACATATAATCCGTGCATAAATCGTACAAAAATATAGACAGGATTGATAATAAATAATCCGTGCAAAATTTGTGCAAATCTACAGACAGAATTGACAACAGATAATCTGTGCAAAATTCGTGCAGAAATACAGACAAAATTGATAACATATAATCCGTGCAAAACTACAGACAGAATTGACAACAGATAATCTGTGCAAAATTCGTGCAGAAATACAGACAAAATTGATAACATATAATCCGTGCAAAATTCGTGCAAAACTAGAGACAGAATTGACAACAGATAATCTGTGCAAAATTCGTGCAAAACTACAGACAGAATTGACAACAGATAATCTGTGCAAAATTCGTGCAGAAATACAGACAAAATTGATAACATATAATCCGTGCAAAATTCGTGCAAAACTACAGACAGAATAGATAACAGATCATCTGTGCAAAATTCGTGCAGAAATACAGACAGGATTGATAACAGATAATCCGTGCAAAATTCGTGCAGAAACAAATATGAACAGAAAACTTATCTCGATAGAGTTTAAAATTTTGTTTGCAGAGACAGCTAGGGTTTTGGTTTTGGTTTTTGTGAGAGAGATTTAGAGTTTCGGGATTTTTTAATATATATAAGGGATATATATACAAGGATAATAGCAGGATACAGAGAATAAGGTAAAACCCTAATGGGCCATGGGCCGGTTATGGAGTCCATCCATATGGTTTATAACAATAACTACTTAATTTCTCGATTTTTTTTTTCGTTTTGCCTTACCATAATAATATGTAGGATTTGAAAATTTACTGAACTACAAAAACCAGACCTTAAGATTTGTTTGCTGTTATATCATAACATCACATCGAACATATATGCTAAGTGGAAATCTTCGATAGGTTCTCAAACCTTTTGGCTGGCTTATATGGATAGCTTTAGAAGAGACAAGACTCTCATGTTATACATCTAAGAGTTAATCCTTTACGAAAATGATATTTGTATCGCTTCTATCGAATCCACATCTCAACTCCAACTACTAAATCAGATGCGAAATTTCTTCTTTTCCATCATCAAAAGAATAGAACAACTAGAACATACTTTTATACAAATCAAGACAATCTAGTACAAGCTGCTTTCAAAGTAATTTGATTTAACAACAGCTAGACATGACTGCGTAAATCTAACCCAATTGCCTTCTTCTAAAACTCAGAGGCCATTGGACGTCTAACAAGTAATTAATTTCAGCATCTCTTTATGATTCCCACCACTTTCCTACCAATCTCCTCCTTTGTCTGCTCTGACACCGGAACATCTCCAATGTACATACCAAAAAATGCTCCTGCAATGTTCGTAAATCTCAGCTCTTGGACTTTTAGTACGCAAATAAGAGCAAGAAAAAAAAGTAGAAAGAAGAACTAACTGCAAAGATCCTTGCTTCGGACAGCGCCAATCAGGTTACCGCCAACTGCAAATGTTTACCATATTCAGGTGGAAGTGTACAATAAATTACATAGAGACAGAATTGAATCCGCAATCAGATTTTCTGTAGTGTATATAATTACTCACTCTCTGTGATTAGTTGTCCATCTTCTGTTCGTCGAAAGTCTATTATTGTTCCCTGCAAATAAGCCACTAAAGTGAGTCATACTCCTTTGATGTTTATAAGTAAAACGTGAGTGTAAGCATTAGCCGTTGTGTACCGCGGGTATTGGAATGTCTTGTCTGAAGAATGAACCAAAATCATTCAAACAATTGAAATCAGTTTTTGGATTTGCCTGAAATAAAAATGGAGAAGCGTATGATATAGCAAAACGTAAGTCACAAAGGTTATCAGCGTATACAACATTTTGTTTCGGTGTATAATTTTACCTTCACCAAACGAGCACGCAGAGATTTCTCAAAAACACTGGAAAAATTGACAAACAAGGGAAGTGATTATTTTGCCATCTATCAGTGTAATGCGCCTCAATGAGGCTGGCTCAAATCATCAAATGGCAAGTAAACAGATTGAAATAAACGAAACATTAACATAGTAAAAAGCTACAAGCTGTTCAATATGTATAACTTCCACTTACTCTCTCACAGTATTGATCTTCAAGCCATTGTAGTTAACCACAAGCCTCACACTCATAACAATATCCTCCCTGAAACAAACTCAAACAAAAGACTTTCAGAAGAAATGTCCAATTAGATACTCAAAGCTACACCAGTTAAAAGTGCAAATCTGTCAAAATATAATACTATGAACAACAGCTACAAATACCTAAGAAGGTCTTTGTATAAGTCATCGCATTTGTCAAGTTTGCTCGCTGGAACCGAGGCATACTTTCGGCCAAGCTTCTGGCAGACCGAGGAAGGATGAACATCTTATACAGAGAAGTCCCAGTTAGAAGCAAAACAAGACAGATGATTCCATAAAAATAGGCAGGTGGAAATATAGAAAGATACAAAGCTAGAATGCACTTACAAAAACCAAATGCATATACTTTTAGAGATTTAATTCTGATAATTTTCATTGTCCGAGATCCAGTTGCAACAAGCACCTTAAATTGTGATGAATTCAAAATGTATTAATTTTTTCGAAACTCAAAATCTCTTCTTTGGTGACTGTGACCAGATACTCTAACATAAGTTGTAAATGACAAAGAATAACAACTGAGGAAGAAAAGCTATAAGAACCTCAGAGTTCGATCGCGAAGCATTCTCCTTCAACAACATCGGGAACTCGATCCCTGTTCGAGGCTCCACTGTTTGTCTTGTCCAGTCTAATTTGTGAAAACTCAAACCACTATATTCCTCATGTCCAACCTGACAAGTCCTATTTCCGGTATTCTCCGAAAGTTGAACATCATTACTCCCTAGAGGCAGAGCATGTCCATAAGCAGACCTAATAAACTCTACAATCAGAAAATTCCCTAAAGAAAGTTTTAGTAGTGAACAATTTAATAAACTTACATAACATTCAAAGACGGTATCAACGCCGCAGCCAAGGAGAGCACAGAACACGAATGTAGCCTCTCAGCTTCATTAACAAAATGCTGAATAGTGGATTTAGAAATACTTCCAAAGAAGCCAGGAGTAATATCTTTTGATACATAGTGAAATGGGAACACAGAGAAGTTCCGATGCTCAAATGCAAATCGCTTCAAATTCTTCGAAGAATCAGAGCTCTTACAAGTTAATCCCCATTGATGTTTAGATACTTCCTTTTGCAAGTTCCCATGTGAAAACCAACAAAGCAAAGCTCCTGTAAACTTGGAGATACAACTAAATGCTTCGAAAGCGAAGCTTCCGGGTATATGTAATTGCGAAAACAACTCATGGTGTAAGAAACTCCTCTTTGGTATAACTGAATTGGGATCCATATTTGACATTATAAGCTTTGATTATAACTACAAGAGACCAGACTTCAATTGTCCCAAAGATTCTGCAAGAACATCAACACAAAGACAAAACAATAATTGATGATCAAAACTCAAATCAAAGATAAACCAAATTAGAGATAATCAAATCCGAATCAACAACAACAATCACGAAACAAGCCTTGATCTAATGGTTCCCTAACGTAACCAATCTCTTAATCTTTGACATTATCGTAACAATCACCATTCCAAGAAAGTGAAACACAAGAGAGATAACAATAACATACAACTGTTTCAGGAGATTTGCACGAAAGCGGAATCAAAAACAGAGGACGAAGAATCAATGAAGATATTTTTTTGGTTACTCTGTTTTTGGGATCTCTTGACGAAAGAGAAGAAGGGAATATTCTTTGGCGTAAGAAACAACAATAACGGCGAAGAGTTTTTTGCTTTCAGGGTTTCTTCTTCTTCGGTGCAATTATTTAATTGTTTTTAAACTCGCTTTTTCGAATGTTCTGAATTCACGGTAGACCCCATGTATTTTTATTTTATTTCAATTTTGACATCATATTTAGTATTTGTTCAGTTTCACCCCCAATATTTTTTAATGTGAGAACTTTTTCATGTTAGGAACATTACAAAATTTTGTAGTACTGATAATGAATTTATCTGACTCAATGTAACTTAAAGGAAGTTCCGCGTCTTTCTATTCGTTTGATAAATCAACCGCAAACGCTCTTGTACTGGAGTCGCTTGGCCACACTGCCTATTGTCAAGGAATTCCAATAGCAAGTAATCTTATAGAGTTATTTGTTCACTCGCCTTTAACGGTTAAAGAACTATCACTATCATCTTTAAGAGCTAAAAGATGTGTTCACTCGCCTTTTAACGGTTGAAGAATTATCGCTATCCTCAGAATCTAAGATGGCCTGTGAGAGTTCGGGTGTGAATGTGTGATCTATGATTGTAACTGTTCTTTATACCTTTACCATGCTTTGTGTTACGTTTCACTTTTTTAGCTTTCAAGATGTGGACTCTTTGGCACATCGATCGTATATTCCTCGTATTGTAGCCTCATTTTAAGATTAATATAACCAAAAAAGATAACAAGAAATGAGATGCTTTTGATGAAAAACAATATGAAGCCAAAGACAGAGGAATGTTAAACAAAACAATGAGAAAATAGAAACTAGTCGGAGCCCATTCGAGACGCATTAGATTTTGAATCGCCAAGTCTTTGTCCCGACAGATCAATTACACGGTCATTCAGTTTTCGAATTTTTCTTATAATGAGAGGTAATTTACTTGAGATATGTAATAATAAGGTCATAAAAGGCCAGCCTCCAATAGATTTCTCCTTCTTAGTGTCTCATCTACGAGCTTGAATGTTTTCTTTACAAGCTTCTGGTCCAAAGCCGTCGTCCTGTAGATTTTGAATACCCTGTCCACTCTATCCGGAGCCGTGTTTTGGTAATATAACTCCTCAAATTTCTTCTTTACAAACCTGAGTCCAAAGTGAAAATCAGAAGGTCAAATTACAGTAACAATTAGGAGGATATCAGTAATTTGGAGACAAGCTTACTCGTATGCATGCTCAATCTCTTGTTTCCCACTTGAAACTGGTTGGTAATCTCTGAACCACTCGCAAACGTTCAACGGAACCTATGCACATTGAATAAGAAAGTGTTATTGAACCAAAAGACTTGCTTGACTATCTAAACAAACAAATATGATTCAGCTCTTACGTCAAGAACCTTCTTCTCGAATATGTCGAACTTGTTCAAGAACAGCATGAAGGATGTTTTCTGCGTAAGAGAACCAAGTTTTTTGTAAACAACCCATCTTAAGAGTCTCTTCGAAGTTTAAACCGATAAGATTTAAAAAGAAAATCAAAAACCTCAAAACAGGGCTGTTTCAGGACCCAATCGAATAATTCTTTGGTCTCCATCATCCTGTTTTTCTGCTCGTCCTCAAAGAGCGTTTGGTCGTACCTATGACCAAAACTTGTTATGATATGGAAATATGTGTACATAATGATGATATATATAATTTATAATGAAATGGGCTTACTCGCTGATGGCAGCACAAAATATCACAGCAGTTACACCTTCAAACAGATGAATCCATTTCCTCCTCTCATTTCTCTGTCCACCCACGTCAAATAATCGGTACACTTCACCACTTTTCTTATTCTCTCCCACGGGGCTGCATAAATGAGAAGCTTTATCTCATATACCAATCTTGGTGTTGTTGAAAGTACATTCAAGAATCACGAAGTTTGATATTGGTATGGAATTCATGTGATTCTATTAGTACATCAACTTGTCAATCACAGGATCCAAATCAGTACACACTTTTATTTAATTCACCAAAGAACTACACATCAAAGAGAGACTTCATTAACAAAAGAATCTCCACTCTCCACCAATTCCCAATCCAAAACGCTAGACAAATCAAGAATTTCCACTACACTTAAAACCTGTTAGCCCTCTAGCTAATTGTCGTGATGATTGTTCCTTAGCTGTTAACACAGCTTCGGTCTACAACAAACCGCCTAAGCTAATAATGCTATTTCTCATCTATTGAAAAATGCCAATTAAACAGGCAGAAGGTTAAAACAAAAAGTAGTTGGCACCTGAACTGTATTTCCACGACACCAGTTGTGCGAACTCTTGCATAGAGAACATCTTCCTGAAACACCAACATAGAAAAAATGTATTAATAACTACACATTACGGAAGACAAATGTCACAGAAATTGCATATTGACCCTAGTCTCTAAAACTTGCTAGCACCCAAGAAGATGTGTTGTTAAGGACCTCTTAAAACTAGTAGGATTAACTAGGCTAATATGGAAAGAAAAAAGCTACTGTTTGTTGGTGAATTAATCCTCCGAGGCTGATCAAATGAATTTTATTCAACCAGCTTCGATCATTACTTCAAATATTTTCATCAAATAATGATACTTTGGTTATACCTTTGTTGGAATATAATTTATATCTGATAGTCTCTTCAAGTTCTCCATGAGATATTTTGTACAATCAGGCACCTGAAGCTCATTACCACGAGCACATGTTTCCTACAAAATGAAACATCGAGACATTCAAATGAAAGTACAAACCAAATGGAATCATTTCAATCATGTATTCAACTTAGAATGCCATTGTAAGGAAAACGTGCACACACACACACACAAACACACCTGAATTGCAGGATCCTTCCATAGAGTTTCGATTCCCTCAGCGAGGTCCTTGGTAAGACGTGGATAGTCTAACCTACCACCAATCTCAGATAGTTTCTCACCAATTGCCTGATATTAGGATAATAAGTTGACAACCATAAGATAATGTACTCAACAATACTCATAACTCTAACAAAGACCTAGGAATTTAACCACTTACAATACTTTCAGAGGATAACATATATTTTGCAGAATCTGCTTCATTTTGAGCAAATTCCTTTGTTCCATCATGCAATAACTGTTCAGCAATATAGAGTAGCTATTAGCTACATGTACAACATATCAAGAATGATTACTAATATAGTTGTTTCTCTAAATTTTAAATCCAAAGAACTCGAAAACACGACCAATTAGAAGGATAAACCCAACACAGACATTTCAAGTTTTGCATACTTTTATAGTGTGATAGACATTGGCATGGATGACTGAAACATAGCTCTTTAGTTCTCCTTCATCAAATCCCGTTTGAAAGAGAAGTTTTATCTGCAAGTTAGTAAGTTTGTCTCATTCAATTATCATGATTCATAAGTAAATTGAAGTAAAAACTACAATCAATTTTGTTTGGGACTTACCTGCTTAAAAATTGTAGATTTTCCAGATTCTCCAGCACCTTTGCCAACACCAATCAGAAAATTAGAGGAAATCTATTAGCAAAAGATTCATCAAGGCCTGCCATTTGCATTTATATAGTAACTGATTAATATAATCCAAGGTCCACATACCAAGTAATAGAAGCTTCCGAATATGCTTTTCGGCCTTTGCTTCTTGCTCTATCCGTCTTTCGATTTCAGCAGCCTACACATTTTATACAAACCAAGTTAACTCTTAAAGTATCAGAACAAATGCTCACATACATCGAATCAATAGCGTTACAAGAGCCAAGAGCTACCGAGTCAACCTGTGTATTCTCGTCAGTATCTTCAGTATGATGTCGACTTCTACTGCAGAGTAAGCCCATGATTGTTTCTATATCCCCACAGGTAATAGCATGGAAGTCGAAAACTATCAAGATTCAAGCTTCACCACTATAACAGGACAATGCTTTACCTACTAATGAAACCATCCAGTGAATATAAATCCTTTTGCTCAACATTGATGACTATACATAGAGTCTCACTCACCCAAATAGCAAACATGTTCAAAGAATGCAAGTACAAAAAAAAAAAAAGAACAAATCTTTACAATATATTGGATTAGTACCTCTGAAATGAAGCAAGTTCAGTAGCATACCATTAACAAAATGGGCTCTAAAATTCGATTAGCTAACACCTCAACTGCTATAATCAGATCCAAGAAAAACAACGACGAATTGATCTACAAAACCCTAATCTTCAACCAAAAAAAAAACAATTCGAAACGAAACACAAAGAAAAAAAACAGAACAAGGGATAAGATCTGAGTAATAAAAAACAAAACTTTCATAAAACCCAGAAGAGCAAATTTGGTTGGGGTAAAAAAGGTAAAAGTAGAATTCACCTGAAGAGCAAAAAGAAATGGAGTCAAAGGTAGTGAAGAAGATTCGGAGCTCACAACAAGAAGAAAAAGAAGAAGAAGAAGAAGAAGAAAGTACGAAACAAGGTCTGAGAAGAGAGCAGAAGAAGAAGTACTACTTCTGTTTCTCCTGTTTCTATTATTGTTTACCACTTTCTTTCCGCTTCAATGTTTTGCTTCACTCTTTTGGATTTATCTATGTATTTTGTATTTTTTTATCAGAGAGATACATAAATGCAATATTATAATTCATACAAATCTGTTGACAAAAAAAAAATGTAAATTATGATAAATTTAATTTAATTAAAATAATATTTTATTTGGTCGTAAAGAAAGAAAGAAGAAATGTTAAGCAAAGGGGAAGACGAAATTACGCCGAAAGGTCCTAACGTAGGAGGACTCGTAAGTGGTCAAATGTTGAAAAGATGTGCCTCTCGTGAAGATAAGAAGATTAATTACGGAATCTATATGCATTGTGAGTTTATTAATATACAACCATTTTTGGAAGAGAATCAAGCTTAGCAAGACAAAACAAATTTGGATTTTTATACCTTTTACCTGTAAAAGAAAATTAACTAATTGAGTAATGCGTTTTTCGTTTGTTTGTTTTGTGTAGAATTGACATATAAGATTTATTGTGATTATTGTAAGTTTGTAACATTGTAGAATAAAGTTTTATTACGAAAATTCTAGATAGGAAGAGAACTGAGAAAGGTACTACAAGAGAGATTTTATGTTTTGAGTAAATCTTACACTTCACATAATTATAACGCGGTTCTACAAGAGGATCTAGATTCGAAATTAGATAGCATGTACGAAAAATTTGCACAAAGTTAAATCATTTTCGTTGCAAAAGTAGGCAATGTATATAAAAATATAATGTCAACGACAAGTTAAAAAAAGAAAAAGAAAAAAATGATGTCCTGTCATTGGAGATGTTAACAAAACAACAAAAGTGATTAACTGATAAATAGAGAGACTACGAGGAGAAAACAAATTTCTGAATAAAGTGCTTGAAAGCTTAGAGACAAACATAGATCATAAACTAGAATTCAAACTTAAACTTAGGTCTAAAATCTTAGAACAAAGTGTAGATAGTAAAACAACTCAGACTGAATCGACCCAAGACAAATCAGGTTCGAACTATGAGAAAGTTTTCTTACTTGGAGACTCATTCTGGCGGCCACTTTTTATAAACCTCAGGGGACACCAGTAACTTGACATAACAAATAAAGAACTCGTCGTAAAACGTCCAGAACTGCCTGACAAGTTTAAGTCTTCCAGGGACTTCGAATTCTGTAGGATCATTCACTTCGACATATATCTCCATCTCCTTCAAACATGGGAAATACTCCAAGAAATGCGATATCATCTTCATCTCTTTAATTGTTCCTCTAAACCCTGTAATCTTCATATACTTCACTGGACAAGATGAGCGTGAGCAACCTTTTTCCTCACGAGAAATGCAGTCACAAGCATCCCCACATTCATCAGTCACATAGTGTGAGAGATCCTGAAAGTCGAAAATAAAACTATAAGAAAAGTATACATCTTTGTAAAATGTTTGACAAATGAGTTGCGTTTAGACCTCAAGAACTAGAGTTTCTAAATGAGGACAGTTCCTTAAGAGAACCGGCATTGCTTGCCATCCCCGTTCCTTGTCACTCTTAATACATAGAAATTTGAGATTGTTGAACACCGGCATCGATTCACAGCATAGAGAAAGAACCTGAAACAAGACAAATCCCAACTCAACATTATAACATCTGTTTCCAATTTCAGCGTATTTAGCTTAGATGACACTTATGAAACAAATACTGCGAAAGATAGTAATAATGCAAACTCACCTCGAGAGCATCGGCAGTAAAGAAAAGTTTCTGAACATTTCTTATGCCACTTATAAGCTTCCACACATTTCTAAGACGCAGAAAACCATCATCTTCATCATTTGGCGCTCGTATAAGATTGACTTGGCCTTCAGTTACCATAAGTCTGATGTGAGCCTCAACTAAACTCGTCAAGTTAACTTTTGGATAATCAGCCGCAACAAAATCAGAATACTCGAGGTAAACTAGACTTGGTGTATCAAAAGAAATGCTCTCTGGTTTCAAGTAGTTTTCAAAACCACTTGCATATATAGTTAGCTTCCTAAGGCTTGAGCTTGATACAGTTTCATTCCAAAGCCACTTCTTATCAGCCAAATATAATTCCTCAAGCACAGGGAAAGCAGGAAGAAACATCTCAAGCTCATCACATGTAATCCACCCCGCGTCAATCTCGAGAGTTTTAAGCATTGGTAAACAAGTGTATGCAGCTCCACGCCACCAATTAACACCATGTTCTTCACTTCTTAATTTCAGCTCAACTAGTGTCTTGCTCTCGAACAATTCTTCCGGAAGAAAATACAATTCATCAGAATCTGAATCATAACCCGAATAATCGAGGGAAAGGTCGAGATCCGAAACACCACGCCGCAACACATTACATATCCAACCATTCACACGATCTTTATCAATACCAGTTTCACACTTGAGTGAGAATCTCTCTATAGGAGAATCACCTTGCAAAGCCAAAACCTTATCAACAAAATCCATGAAACATTGCAAAATTCCTTCCCTTTCACGCTTACCCTCTTCAGGATAAAGAAAGACAGAGTCATCAATGTCAATATTACGAACAAGTTTCCACAAATTGAGCCATCTCTTTGAAAGAACCGATGTTAAAGCAGCTTCCTTTGTTGTAAGAAAAGACAAGATATGACAAATAACCTCCTCTGGTAGATTACCGAACTCATCCATTGACTCTGCAAATACCAACCATGAATTTGAAGAAACCCATTCAACAGTGCAAATAGGGAAGCGCTAAAACAAATTAAAAATTGAAACTTTGAACGAAAACAAGCTCATACAGAGAATAGAATCAGTAGAAGCAGAAGGAGTGAGTAAGATTTGGCACTTACCAGGGTACAGAAGCGAAATCCAAAACCCAAATTTGAGGGAAGATCTTGGGTTTCTGAAAGAGAAAGATCCGAATTACTGAATCGCTTCTACAAGCGAAGGCACAAACCACAAAGGCATACAACAAATGCATCAGAGGAAAACGAATTGTTTCCTTCATCCCATCACTTAGCAGAAGAGAAACTTGGTTAAGGTTGGTTTTGTTTCTAATTTCTAGTCTTTTTTTGGTTTGGTTTGGTTTAGTTTGGACCGGTTTTGAAGGGTTAATTTCTAGAGAAGCTGTATTGTAAAGCTCTGAAAAGTATACTATATTATACACTACAGGTTGGTAATCAATTTAATCACAAAGTCATCTTAATCTAACTTATCACTTATAATTAAAAAAGTACTGAGCATACGGATCAAATCGACTATGGAACTATAATAAAGAGACTATGGAACAAATTGACTAAATAGTATGAGTAAGCTTAGAGACAAACTTAGATTAAAAGCTTTTTGCTAAGAGCTTAGATTCAAAGCTAGAATCCAAACTTAAAACTCGAAACTTAAACTTTATAGCAAGGTTTAGATAGTGAAACAACTCGGACTGGATCGACCCATGACAAATCAGGTTCAAATCAAGTGAACTAGGTTGGTTTAAGGGGGTCTTATGGTTGGCTTGGAGGCCATAAAAACAACTTCGGAATCGCTGAATGCAACAGGTGTTACCACGATTAGACAAAACGTGGGTTCTTTCCAAAGCATTACAAGTGTCAAGTTTTCTTCCTTGATCGACTTCATTCTGCAGGCCACTTCTTATACAACTCAGTGTACACCAGGAACTGGACATCACAACTAAAGAACTTGTCGTAATGCGTCAAAATCTGCGATACAAGTTTAAGCATTCCAGGGACTTCGAATTCTGTAGGATCATTCTCTTCGATATATATCTTCATCTCCTTCAAATGCGGGAAAGACTCCAAGAAATGCTTTATCATTTTCATCTCTCTAATTGTTCCTCTAAATCCTGTAATCTTCATATACTTCACTGGACAAGATGAGAGCGAACAACCTTTGTCCTCCCGATCAATGCAGTCACAAGCATCCCCACATTTATCAGTCACATAGTGTAAGAGATCCTGAAAGTAAAAAAAAAAAAAAAGATTATAAGAAATTTTAAAGTATGAACTGCATCTTTGTAAATGTTTAACAAATGAGTTGTTTTTACACCTCAAGGACTAGAGTTTCTATATGTGGACAGTTCCTTAAGAGAACCGGCATTGCTTGCCATCCCCGTTCCTTGTCACTCTTGACACGTAAAAATTTGAGTTTGTTGAATACTGGCATCGTATCACAGCATACAGAAAGCACCTGAAACAAGACAAATACCAACTCAACATTCTGTTTCCAAATATTGCAACAAACTTAAGTTCGATGAAACTGTTAGATTTCTTGGTTTCCCTTCGTACTGATGAAAAAAATACTGCAAAATAGCAAACTGACCTCGAGAGTATCTGCAGTAAGGAAAAGTTTCTGAACATTTCTTATGCCACTCATGAGCTTCCACACATTTCTAAGATGCAGAAAACCATCATCTTCATCATTTGGCGCTCGTATAAGCTTGACTTGGTCTTCAGTTACCATAAGTCTGAGTCGAGCCTCAACTAAATTCGTCAAGTTAACTTTTGGATAGTCAGCCGCAACAAAATCAGAATACTCAAGGTAAACCAGACTTGGAGTATCAAAAGAAATGCTCTTTGGATTTAAATAGTCATCAAAACCGCTTGCATAGATAGTTAGCTTCTTGAGGCTTGCATTTGACGCAGCTTCATCACTGTTCGACCACGTCATATTGGCCAAATATAATTCTTGAAGCACAGGGAAAGCAGGACGAAACATATCAAGCTTAGCACATAATATAATCCACTCCGAGTCAATGTCTAAAGTTTTAAGCATTGGTAAGAAAGTGCCTTCACTTGCATACCACCAATCAACACCATATTCACTTCTTAATTTCAGCTCCACTAGTGTCTTGCTGACAAACAACTCTTCCGGCAGAAAATACATATCTTCGGAATCGGTATCGTAACGCGAAAAATCGAGGAAAAGTTCAAGATGTGAAACACCACGCCGCAACACATTACATATCCAACCATTCACACGATCTGAATCAATGCCAGTTTTACACTTGAGAGAGAATCTCTCTATAAGAGAATCACCCTGCAAAGCCAAAACCTTATCAACAAAATCCATGAAGCATTGCAAAAATTCCTTCCCTTTCACGCTTACCCTCTTCAGGATAAAGAAAGACAGAGTCATCAATGTCAATATTAGGAACAAGTTTCCATAAATTGAGCCATCTTTTTGAAAGAACAGATGTTAAAGCAGCTTCCTTTGTTGTAAGGAAAGACAAGATATGACAAAGAACCTCGTTTGGTAGATTATCGAACCTATCCATTGTCTCTGCATATAAATTCCCAAAATCAACAATTACTAAACAGTTCCAATCGTATAGAAATTGGTAGAAACCTGAATTTGAAACCCTAACTGCAGAGTAACATTAACAAATGCATATAGGGAATAGCTAAAGCAAATTAAAAATTGAAACTTTGAACGAAAACAAGTAAGATTTGGCACATACCTGTATACGGACCCAAATTGAGAGAAGATTTAAGAGTTTTGTAGAAGAGAAAGAGCTAAGACACGATGCAAATGCATCAGAGGGAAACGAAGCGTCCTCTAGTAAGAAATTGGTTAAGGTTGGTTTTGTTTCTAATTTCCTGGTCTGAATTGGTTTTGTTTGAACCAAAAGGAATTGATGAAATTATTAAGAGAATTGAACAACAAACCGAAGAGACCGTTTTGATCAGCCTAAACATAATAGAGCTAATTTTTCTTTAATCTTCGTCCTACACGTGTCACTATCTCTTCTCTTGTTATAAACCACATGTTGGATGGACTCCATAACCGTGGACCTTATGCATATTCTAGAAGGCCCATGTCCATGTCCTAGAAGGCCCATGCCCATGTTCTTGAAGATTCTCCTTATGACGGCCTATATTGTACTTAGTGGGCTTTTGGGCTTTAGGGTTTACTAGCCCAATGGGGATTTGTCTCCCCTCATCATGTATATATATGTATCGAAATCTCATTCATTAATCAATAGAACAACACAGTTTACAACACGTTATCAGCACGACTTGCTCTTAACGAAAACCCTAAAACCCTAACCCTAAAAATCGCGGCACTGTTCATCGCCGACACTGTTCATCTCGGTACTGTTCATCGCCGTACTGTTCATCGCCGACACTGTTCATCGCGGCACTGTTCATCGCGGCACTGTTCATCGCGGTACTGTTCATCGTGGTACTGTTTGCGGTTCGTTGCAGCAGCGTGAGTTACCGAGGTCTTTAGCTCCCGGTTCTAGTCCATACAACCCCATAAGGTGAAAGGTAACATCAAAACCCTAAAGCTAAAGAACCAACAATTGAACTTGAAAGTTAAGCAAAGAGAAACCCTAAAACGAATGATGATTGATTAAGTGATTGCTTTGCTTGTATGATTTGATTGCTTGTTTGATCCGATTGCTTGTTTGCTCGATTGTTTGACTCGTTTAGGTTGCTAGAAAAAGTTGATTATCGCTTAAGCTAAACTCGCCTAAGTTGCTAGAGAAGTTTTAATTGTCTAAACCTAAAATCGCAAAACGAAAATACATAAGCTAATAACCGAAACTTTAAAGGTCTAAAAACCTAAAACCTAAAACGAATCTAATCCAAAAAAATTCCATAAGTTTAAATCGGCTTGATTGAGATTGTTTAGGTTGTTAGATTGTTTGCTCCTTTGATTGATTACATGCTTAACACCCTAAAACTAAAATTGCATGAACCCTAGAAAACTTAGAAAAGATAATCCTAAAAGAAATCTCAAAACCCTAAAACCTAAAATCCTAAATAAAATAGGAAACCCTAAAATCTAGGAAACCTTAAAATCCTAAATAAAATAGGAAACCCTAGATAATAGGAAATCTTAACAACCCTAAATCCTAAATAGGGAATCTTAAAATCCTCAATAAAATAGGAAACTTTAAAATTCTAATAGAAAGCATGAAAACTTAAATAAAATCCTAAATCCTATTGTACTCTAAATCCTAATTAAATTAGGAAATTCATAAATCCTATTCAAGATAGGAAAACTTTAAGAAATAGAAAATTTCCAAATCCTAATTAAAATAGGAAATCTTAAAATCTAAAATCATAAGTGAAATAGGAAAATTAATCCTAAAGTAAAGAGGAAAGTAAATCCTAAAAAGGAAAAGGAAAAGTTAATCCTAATAAAAAGAGGAAATCTAATCCTAAGCAAAAGAGGAAAGTCAAATCCCTAAGTAAATCGATTCATGGTTCGGTCTAAAATACCGCATGACACTAACGATTACATGATTTTGACTCAAAACTTTTCCTTGTAGATGTTGAATTACAACTTGTACTTTACTGCCCTAAATCTCTTAGGAGATAATTATTTTAAAATGGGCAATGGATACTAAGATTATCCTAAAGTCAAAAGGACTTGGTGAATGTATCTAATAAGGCAAGAATGCCAAGAGAGAAAGATAGATACAAGACAATATTAGCCACCATCTTATTGAGAGTCTCATAATCCAGGACTATAAGTCCGTGGATGAGTCTATTGCTAGATGAAAAAAAAAAAAAATAATGACTTACAGATAAAAACAGTGAGTTACGACCTCATAGATTAACCCCATTACCTAATGCCAATAAGGCCGCAGAGGATAAGAAAGAATCCAAAGAATCTAACCACGTCTAAAGTGATAGACCACACGGCCGTGACCGTGGTGGATGGAAAGGACGTGGTTGTGGCCACTATAACTCATCCGGCCGTGGGAACCACTATAACCGTGGATGTAGACCCAATTCCGGCCGTGGTCGAGGGCGAGGACGATGTGGTATTTCCAAACCACAACACTCGACCAAATGAGTATGCCATAGATGTGGTATTGAAAGGACGTGGTTGTGGCCACTATAACTCATCCGGCCATGGGAACCACTATAACCGTGGATGTAGACCCAATTCCGGCCGTGGTCGAGGGCGAGGACGATGTGGTATTTCCAAACCACAACACTCGACCAAATGAGTATACCATAGATATGGAATGGGAAACCATTGGGCTAAGATATGTA